TCTGTCATCGCCTGTGACAGTCATGTCTGTCACCACCTGTCTTTGTCTATACTCATAATCAGAAGTTTATGAGGCAGGAAATGGTCTGGAACCATGGTGTCTGGTGGGCTTCCTGCTGCTCGTGGTGGGAAACGGAGGTGAAGCCACAGAAGGGTTAGGAGAAGGAGGCTGAGCTCTGCCTGTCAGCAATGATGTCATTAATCGTCCCGAACATGGAACACTTCAGAAAATTATCCCTTGAAAGCCCCACCCTTCCTCACGCTAACCCTGGGACGAGCTTCCCAGAGCTTCTCCACAACAGGGACACTGCAAACCACAGCACAGCCTGACCCCTCAGAATGCTGCCCACCATTCACGATCGCCAGCTGCTCTACCCTTTCTATTTCACAGCACCAGAGTGGTCAAGTTATTTCCCCAGGGTCACACAGTATCCTAGAGGACCAACCTGTCTGACAGCATGTCTCTCTTCACGTCTCTCTTCTCCCCTCTGCTTGGCCTCGATTCAAACCCTTTCCTTACAGAAAGTAACCGGACCTAGGGAGGCAAAGGACTGCCCCTTCTCATTCAAGCAGCACACCCCACTCTCTGGTCCCACAGGCTTGTGACCTTATCATTATGCAAAACACATCCATTCCAACCTCAAAAGTCCCCATAGTGTTCAGCCTTAACACTGTTTAAAAACCCAGCACTCAGAAGTAGAGGCAAGTGGATCTCTGTGAGTTTGAGGCCAGCTTGACCTACAGAGCAAGTTCCAGGACAGCCACAGCTACCCAGAGAAACCCTGTCTCAAAAAAAAAAAAAATTTAAAAAAGTCTAAAGTCTCTTCTGAGAGGCAAGACAATCTCTTAACTGTAACCTCCTGTAAATTCAAAAAGCAGATCACACACTTCCAATGTATAGGATTGTATAAATGGCACAGAATATGCTCATTCCAAAATGCAGGGAACAGGGCAGTCTGAGGAAATACTAGACCAAAGCAAGGCTGAAACCCAAACTCCAAATCCTGTAGCTCCGTGTCCAGCGTCAAAGAGCGTACATGGTTCCTCCCTTCAACTTTTGCTGACTGTAACTCACTTCTTTCTTTTATGCTTGCTCCACTCCCAGTTAGCCGCTCTCCTCAGCAGGTGTCCCATGGCTCTGGAATCCCCACCATCTTGGGGTCTCCAAGGTAATCCGCTTCACCTTCCCAGCTTCACGGAACGGCCTCTCTGAGCCTTTGTGCAGGGACAGCCCTGACATGTACCCTTTACACAAACGCCTTCACTCCTGTATCCTTCATGACTCTAAAATCAGAACCACGTGCCCAGTGCTGCCAAGTTCTGCTGCCTGCTTCGGATGGAATTACATTTCATAAGCTTTGATTTGTTGATACTTTCCTTTGTTGAATAAGCTTTTCTTTGCTTTTTGTTTTCCTCAGGAGCCTAAGATTCCTTAGGAATTGCCGGTTTACATGTTGGAAGCTTAGCTGGGTGGGGTGACCTCCCGCCCTGAGGTCGCCTCTCCCTTTAATCCCTTTAGCATCAGGCCGATCTTTAAACTTCTCAAGGACTTGGCTCCAATATTACACTCTCTGCTGTTCTTTTTCTCATCAAACTGTACATTTCATATTTCTTTTTTTTTTTTTACTTTTCCAGACAGGGTTTCTCTGTAGCTTTGGAACCTGTCCTGGAACTAGCTCTCGTAGTCCAGGCTGGCCTTGAACTCACATGGATCCACCTGCATCTACCTCCTGAATGCTGGGATTAAAGGCATGCACCACCACCCGACCTCATATTTCTTTCTTTCTTTTCTTTTTTTTTTTTAAAGATTTATGTATATGCCTGCAGGCCAGAAGAAGGCACCAGACCTCATTACAGATGGTTGTGAGGCACCATGTGGTTGCTGGGAATTGAACTCAGGACCTTAGGAAGAGCAGGCAATGCTCTTAACCTCTGAACCATCTCTCCAGCCCCCAGCCTCATATTTGTTTTTACCCTGCTTGCTTGTTTTAATTGTAGTCTGTGTAAGAGTGCTCACTAATAACCAAATAACACAGTCAAAACTAGGTTGCCTTGAATGCTCCTCTGCCAACAAAATTATGCCAGAACTCTTCAATTTAGCCTCAAATTCTTAGAATGGGGGGGAGGGGAACAGCCAGATACTCTTTGTCAAAATATCACAAAAATGTTCTCTCACCAGTTGCTAATAGTGCCTCCCTCTGAGACCTCTTGAGTGGTGTCTCCACATTGCCCTCAGCACTGTCATCGTCCGTGTTTCTTCTGGGATCCACTGAGCTCAGTTTACAACTTTCGACCACTTTCCTAGTCCAAAGTCCCAAGTGTGTCCACGCTCCTCTGGAAACACGCATGGTCAGGTAATACTTCATTCCCTGGTATCACCTTATGTCTCAACGACTTTTCTATTGCTACAAAGACACCGTGACCAAGGCAGGTTATCAAAGGAAGCATTTCATTTGGGTTCACAGTTCCAGAGGGTTGGAGTCCAGAATCATTGTGGTGGGGAACGTGGCAGCAGGCTCTGGTGTGGCACTGAGCAGTAGCTGAGAGCGTATGCACTGAGATAATAACTATGAGGCAGAGGGAGGGAGAGAGTGAGGGAGGGAGGGGGGAGGAAGGGAGGGAAAGAGCGGGGAGGGAGGGAGGGAGGGAGGCCACGCTCACTAATCAGGAATGGTGTGGACTTTTGAAACCTCAAATGTCATCCCCAATGATCTTCTCCAAAACCACACCTCTTAATCCTTCCCAAGTGGTTCCACCAACTGGAACCAAATATATAAACGTGTGAGCCCAGAGCATTCTCATTCAAACTAACATGAATGCTTTTGGGGTTTGGTTTTGCTCTTGTTTTAACGGGGAATCTAAAGTCTAAGGCCTAGCAGAAGACAAAAGCCAGCAACCCACTGGGGCCAGCTGGGCAGACAGGGCCTGGACCTGGGGGTGGAGTCTGGAACCCAGGGCAGATTCTGAAATGATCTGGGTGTGGCCTCAGGTAAGCTTCTGGGTGTTCAGTTTTCCCATATGCAACATGGGAGTTGGTTTGGGAAAAATCAGCAGATGTGGATAGAGAAGGTGATCGGAGTGGGGATAGCCCAGTGAGGACCAATGGGGAGGTGGAAGTCTCCTGAAACCGCCATGTCCCACCATGCCCAAGGGAACAGCGGCACTTGCCACTGTTGGGCCATCTCTCATGGAGCCCAAAGGGAACCTGAGGAACAGCCCCGCTCTATGTCCTTGCTCACACCAGTCTGTCCTCGCAGCCCCATGCCCAGGTGTTCTTCAAATAAGGATGGGTGCTCTGTGGAGAGCCTGAGGCCTTTGCAGGGCCCTCACTCTGGGAGCCTGGGAGGGCAATACCTTCCCTGAGGAAGAGGAGGTCCAACGGTAGTTGGTAGAAGCTGGGAGGAGTTGCAGCCCCTGAGACAGTGTTGCTCTTCAGTATCACAGACTCCGCCGGGCAGATCCCAAGTCTATCCCATGTTAGAAGCTCAGAGAGGTGCAGTCAGTTCCCCAGTGGCACACAGCCACACGGGCAGAGCGACCAGAGCGGCCTCTGCTTCCTCTGCGTGGATGTTTCTGCAAAGGCCCCGACCATCCAGGCCCTGCGCCCGGGAGCCCAGAACACAGAGTCCACAGATTGGACCACTTAAAAACAGAAATCATGCGCGAAC